ATACCCTCCCCAGTGTCTATCACCCAGTCACCCCATCCCTCCCACCCCACCCCCCACTCCAACAACACTCAGTTTGTTTCCTGCGATTAAGAATCAGGATAGAAATTCTTAAGTATAATAGAGGGGTACAAATAACACACATACATACTGTACTGCCAAAAAAAGAAAGACGACTCTGGTGGGATTTTCTTGGAGAAAGTGGTCTTTGACCTGAGTGTTGAAGATGACATATAGAGAGGGCTGGTGTTTCAATACTAGATGGAGGAACTTCTGTCTTTTCTAGAAAGAAGTACCGATCCGCATACTATACAGTAAAAATCAGACTGGACAGAATCATAAAGTCTCATAATTTATATGCCATTTAAGATATAATTTATCAATAAAATTTCACTTCCCTGTGAACATATCCTAAATACAAATTTCTTAAAATAAATTGAAAATCTTTATTAGGAAAAGGCCAACGAAACTTTCTAAGCACAGTGTGTACCCAGGAAAGGTTCTCTCCTCCTCCTGACATTTGGGTTTTTTATATTCCATTAATATAGATGTTATCAGATGATTTGTTTCTTTCAAGGCAAGTTCATTTCTGTCAAGCTAATTCATTGTCTTCACCGAGTTTTCTTGACAGATACAAAATGTGACTTTTATGTGGTTCAAATTCTGTTATTTTTGAAATCAATAAAACATGATTGATTTTGCTTCACCCATTTTCATGACTGATCTGATATATACTTCCTTGACCAAAGTTATGGATTTTGTGTCCTTTTCACTTAAGCTAAGCTTTTTCCCACTTAAAAACAAAACACCTTTTATTAACTTTAAAAAGCCATGTACTTCTGTTTTCTATCAAATTTACTTCAGAGTAATTTTACTTTAACCCTTATTGCTCACAGTCTCCTTCACGTAGCCCCTTTAAGATTAAAAAGAAAAAGCCCCGACTGTGAACCTCTCATCCTTTGGGAGATGACTTTGTTGAGCAGAGGGTGGCAGAGGTTCTGATGTCAGGCATGTCTCGTCTGACTCTTGAGCTCGCCACGGGCCAGCAGAGTACCTTGAGAAAAGTGGGAAGCTTTCTTTACCACGCTGAGCCTGTTTCCTGTCAGTACAAGTGAGACGAAGACTGTTTTTACAGCATTGTTCTAGTTTGATGAGCCTGCAAAGGTCTGGCATTACATCTGGTACTGTAGATGCTCAGTAAACGTGGTTTCTTCCCCTCTTCTCTTCTCTCTCTCTCTCTCCTTCCCTACTTTTCCCTTTCCCTCCTTCTCTTTCTCCTTCTTTCACTCTCTCTCCCTCACCTCTCCTGCTCTCTTCCCCTACTTTCCTTCCTCTCTCTCCCTCCTTCCCTCTGTCCCTTCCTGTCTTCTTCCTGTGCTGGATTTGTACATTGTTCTCCTTGCCTACTCTAAGCCCACAAATGACCCCAAATCATTATTAGTTAAAAAATTGTCAAACAGTTTATTTAAGTGAGTCCTCATATCTTCCCTCTTTGCATTTGGATGAAAAATGGACATCAGAGTAAATATGTCTGCATTATATAATATATGGAGCGTATGTTCGTGAAAATAGAGTAGAATCATAGAGAAGGGGAAAAAAGAGGATAGGAGCTGTCTCAAAATCCTTAAAAATAGATGTAAACTCCCTAAAGTCAGAAACCAGCACCCAATAAAATCAGACATCCCAGTCAAATATTTCCAGTAAGGTAACGAAGCCCTACTTTATTTTGGAACTCTATAGACTTGACTCTCCTGAGATCTGTTTTCTCCGAACACGTACTGGTATGTGAGTTTTGCTCTTTATGATCTTGTCTTTGATTCTCTTCACCCCCACAGAATTAGAAATCACTGGGCAACTCTGACAATGTGGGAAGGAGAAAACCCTGCTGCCCACTCTGGAACCCTGGGCCCCCCACCACATACAACAGAGGGTCTGGGGCACGGCTTCTGGCCAAATTCCTGTGACTAAATACATCATCAGAGAATTTGCCACAAGAGAAAAATGTACTGTTTTTATAAGCATGTTTCTGCCCTGGGGTTTGAAAATCATCATATGTGTTATTTAATTTGTAATTTTTAAGGACAAGCTAAAGGAGAAATTAAGAAACTGAAGTCATGTCTGTGCAATGAGGGAGAGGAGGAGCCATTTAAAAATTAATCGCTCACAACTTATTTGCTTCCATTAACTTCATCTAATAAAATCAATTTTTTTTCACTCCATTACCTGTACTTTTTGATAGCCAAGTTTATTATCTCATGTACAAATTGCTGTATGTAAAAAACAAGGAACATAAAACAATATGACTATTATTATGAATGAACATAACAGCCCAGTTACTATTCCAACTGTTTGGCAGCAGTTGAAATAGAACCAAGAAACTTTTTTTCCATCAATTCAACATTGAATATCCTGTCTATCTACTTAGTTTAAATATTAGATTTCATTGAAAAATTAATAAATGTACTTGGCAAAAAGTCCAATAATATTAAAAAATAAATGATAAAAATAAGCCTTCCTCCCACACTACACCTATATTCCCTTCCTCCAGGGGCAACAACTGTTAGTTTCTTCCAGTCCTTCCAGAAATTGTTTATGCTTACACAAATGTAAATTCTCTCCACAAACTTGGGCATCATAGAAATAAAACTTATTTTATTCTTTCATAACCCAACTTAATTTCTTTTTATTGTCCCCCTCCTACAAGTGGTGAAAACTTAATTTCAGTCACCTTTGGCTCACCCTCTCCCATTTTCTGATGCTGTAACGAAGTTTCAGAGGATTTATTGCTGCAAAGCCAGGGTGGTATGAAGATGTACCTCTGGTCTCCTAGTCATCTGTCCCTGCGGTTACCCATGGTGTCTCCCTGTCTCATCTTTGGTGACTGATCTTTGTCCTTTGTCCTTGTCCTAACCATCCCTTCGGGGCATGGCTCTGTTTTGATGCCGGCTTGAGGGCAAGGAAACTGTTCTGCTGCTCCTGGATCTGGGCCATGGGCATCTTGGCGATGCTATGCTCTGGTTTACACAGCTAGGGTCCTTCTA